AAAAACAAGGAAATTGGGTGCCTTATGAACTGAAACCGAAAGACGTTGAAAGGCGATTTTTCACTTGCGAACAGCTGAAAGATAACAAAGAAAAGGTTTTTTGCATCGGATTGTGATTGGAGATGAGAAGTGGATATTCTACGACAACCCGAAGAAGAAAAAATACTACGCTAAGCCCGGTCAATCGTTGCCATCGACCTCAACATCAACACCAAAGCCGAACATTCATGGTTCGAAGATCATGCTCTGTATCTGGTGGGACCAAAAGGGTGTTGTTTACTATGAGCTGCTTGAAATCTGGCGATTCCATTACGGGCGATCGGTATCGGCTACAATTGATTCGTTTGAGCCGTGCATTGCGAAAAAAACGGCCGGAATATGAGCAAAGACATGATAAAATTATTTTTCTTCATGACAACGCTGGGCCTCATGTCGCTAAAGTCGTAAAAAAATATTTGGAAATGCTCAAATGGGATGTTTTACCGCACCCGCCGTATTCTCCGGACATTGCTCCTCCTGATTACTGGTTGTTTTCCGAAGGATGCAGCACGATTTGGCAAGTCATCGCTTCACTTCTTTCGCAGAAATCGAAAATTGGCTCCAAAATTAGATCGCCTCCAAAGACGAGTCATTTTTTCGAGATGGAATTCGAAAATTGCCTGAGAGATGGGGAAAAGTAGTAGCCAGCGATGGACAATACTTTAATTAATCTGTTCATTCATTTTGTTTTGAAATAAATGCATTTTTGAACACAAAAAAATTAACCGAACTAATTTGTACTCCTAATAATATAACATATTTAAATTAAATGGATCAACTAATATAACAAAATACAAAACCACAAAAACATTAGGTATAAACAGATCATTTAATTGTCGGCTGTAAATTCGCATCCTGTCGTTATTAATCAGATATTACGTCCATAATAATATAGCGTATATTATAAATGTCAAATTAATAAACTCCTTATTTGATGTCATAGTGCGCAAAGTATTCTCAAGCATCGTAAATTCAAAATTCAAGTTAAATTCTATAAAAATAGTGAGAACAAACGATACATTAATATAATATCTAAAGCAATAAAAAGCAGAGAGCAATAAGTCCATTATAAAATATAAAGCAATAAAAGTCCGTTTATAAAATCATACATAAAATTTAATTTTATGATAAAAATTATCTTTAAATTATAATATTGCAGTGTCCAATATATAAAAAATCCTTCTGTTTTAATAGAAAAATTTTCTACCAAAATGGTAGAACATTTAATTCAACGTTGGCATAAAAATACAATTTTTTAGAAGCAATATAACGCGGAACTGTCTCTATTGTCTTGTTGAGAAACACAGAGTGAGGAAATCGTTGACAAAGTGGGGAGGCTAGAAATAATAAGGAAAGGGAAATAAGAGGATAAGAAGAAAAAGATTAGAAGAGGGAAAAAGGTTGTATAATAAGAAGATAAGAATTATGTGACGAAATTCACTTTGTTTATTTAGACCCTGACTTTGTTTTTGATATGAACCATTTCAGATATTAACTGTTTTTTACTTTTGATACAATAAAAAATGATGTTCTTTTTATTCTTATTAGGAAAACGCAAAATTCTCACAAAGTTGTAAAACACATTGTACATCGTTCGGAATGAGCGTGGAAAAGAGATTCACAAACTATTTGTTTTTAACAGAGGAAAGGGAAGGTGAAATTTTACAATTGAAGAAGGAATTCGGATGTATTATTTAATCACCGAACATAGACTGCAGACGACACATGATTTTGACTGAAGTAACATCCAGACACTAAATGAAGAGCCGTGTCACAATAAACACTTAATTTCGGAGATGTTAAATATTAAAAAGCAGAAAAACAGTCTTAATTTTCAAACAGACACGGAGGGTCTTCACAAAGCACATCGATCATAAACAAAATTTGTTCTTATTTAGTTTTTTCTTATTATCGTTTTATCTATCAATCTATTAATCGTCTCTCAGATGATGACAGTCAGCCTTACCGTTAACAAACTTTCAAAAAATTCTTTCTGAAAGATTCGATCTGCACATATAATCAAATTTTAGTATAATGACTGTGAATTACATTTTATTATCACTATCTGACTGGTGTACTACCTCTTATATTTTACATGATTTTATAATGAATTTGATGAAGTATTTCTTCGAAATGATAACTGCGACCACGTTGGTGAGTGTTTTATTGAGATGATGTTGTTGCTTGCTTTTTACAGAATTTAAAAGTAGATAATTTTTTGACAGATTTTTATTTTATTTAGATATTTATATATTAACGAATTTATTTCTTTAATTAGAACATCATGAAATTCCGAACAATCGGTCATTAAATCGCTTGCGAATAATTTATGTTGTTTGTAAAACATTCATCAGAATCGCTATATAAATTGGAATACTTTTCATCATGATTTTTCTCTGACGGAAATGAATTTAAAGTGTGAATTTTGTATTGTCTGAGAATGGCTCAATCCAAGAGCCGAAATAGGCAATCTCAGTTTATATTTATGTATATCTCAGTTTATATTTATGTACATATTTAGTTATTATTAAGAGAAATTCTTTTTTTATACTTTACATTTTTTTAAAAATTGACTATTTTGATTGTTATATTATAGTATTTTTGAAATTTAAAAGTCCTCGATTGTATTATATTATTCTAGAATATTTACGCCTAAATAAAGTATTTAAGAAAATAAACAGCCTTTTGGGACTTATTTCTTTTTTAAAGTATATAGTGATTGGCCTAATAGGTGCAGACTAAACGCACGATGTAAACTGTAGAAGCGTGTTCTTTTTAGCTGAACTTCTTGCACGGTTCATTATTTCTTTTTTTTTTGTTTTCAACGTGTCTTTCCGCGTTATATTGCTTCTAAAAAAAAAACTTTAACTAAAAAGTACAGACCTTAAGTCATTAAGGAACATAACAGTACCAAGAAAATCATTTATTAATAAAAGAAAGTTGTAAGAAATGGAAAAAACATTAGAAAAACATTGGAAAAATGCGATACCGAAAAAGCATTTAGAGCTTATTCTACAATTGCGTAAGCGTAATTGTAAGTGGTTATAGTTGTAAAAATTCACCAATTACAACCGAATATAAAAAGAATATTTGACTATGATCAATTCTTATAACTGCAACTACTTACAACTACGCTTACGCAATTTTAGAATAGGCAAAAAATATACAAACAAAGAAGTATTATATTAGCTCATAGGATATATTGTATAATTCGATTCTATTTTAGATTTAATGTCTATCAGATGTAGCTCTCCTTGGGAGAAATACCGTCTTTCGTCAATGTACCAAAGATCGAAATTAGAAAAATGTAATTCGTGTCGATTCGGAAATCTCTGCTACTGTGCACAATACAGTAGTTTACTCTCTTAATTTATAATCTCTCTTAATTTATAATAAATAAAAAAATTAGTAAATTATGTTTTGAATATTTATGTGTGTATCTATACAATGTATATATAAATAAGACAGATTAAAAATAATTTCTTTTTCTCTAGAGATATTTATGATCAGTTTTAATAGATTATTGCTTTTTATAATATAATACCGATTAGAAGATTTACATCTCGTCTTTATTATCTTTAAATTTCTTCGTAAAGCCTTTGGAGACTAGTAACTCATTACATTCTTCTCGAGTCAGTTTAGACAACACTAATCTTTCTACTTCCTGCAACATTTTCAGAAATTAATATTAAGATATTATAAATACATTCCTATTAATGTTTTTTTGTTGTCAAACCTCTTCATGTATGTTGCATAACACAAGTTCTGGAATTGCACCTGGAATATGCTTGAATTCTACATTATCACTGTACATATATTAAGGAAGAATCAAATAATATGACTTAAAAGGATCTTGGATTAAAGTTAATTTTTTATATGTTATTATTTTTTTAATGACATTTTATACTTTTGAGTTTATTTTATATTAAAAGATATATTTTTAATAAATTAAAATAGTTCTTTAGTAAATTGACAAAAATGTCTAATTTTTTTATAAGATGAAGTTCCCG